CCTCCTCCCCCCTCCGTTCCCCCCCCACCTCTTCCTCCCTCCCTTCCTTCCTTCCTTTTCTCCCCAGCAGGTTCTCCCTGTAGCCCTGGCTGGACTGAAACTCACTTTGTAGACTAGGCTGGCCTTGATCTCAGAGATCCGCCTGCCCCTGCTTCTGTACTGGGACTAAAGGTGTGCGTTACCACACCCAGCTGGGAGTCCTTTCTGAAAGCTGTTTTTGTAATTTGAGAAAAACTATTCTTCCTGTTCCTGAGAATAGTGTCTCTATGTACACTGTCAGGTTCCCAAAAATGCAACACTCCAGGACTTTTAAAAAGATTTTCATCTTTGGGGGCTGGAGAGATGGCTCAGTAGTTAAGAACACTGACTGTTCTTGCAGAAGACCAGGTTCGAATCCCAGCACCCACATGGCAGCTAATAACTGTCCATAGCTCCAGTGTGCATAGCCTCTTGTGACCTCTACGGGCATTGCACTTACCTACATGCAAGCAATACACGCATACACATAAAATAAAAAATAGAAAAAAAATATTTTTATCTTTATTTACTTTTTGTTTTTTGAGACAGGGTCATTTAGTAGTCCCAGACTGCCCAGAACTCACTATGTAGACCAGACTGGCCTCAATCTCACAGAGATCCACCTGCCTCTGCCTCCTGAGTGCTGGGATTAAAGGCATGTGCCACAATACCTGGCCATTTATTTTTTCTGTGTATGAGTGTTTCGCCTGCCTGCAAGTGTACCATAGTGCATGCCTGGTACCTAAGGAGGCCAGAAAAGGGTGTCGAATCCCCCTGGAGTTAAGGACCAGCTGCCATGTGGGTGCTGGGAACCAAACCTAGGCCCTCTGGAAGAGTAGTCAGTTCTCTTAACCATTGAGCCATCTCTCCAGCTCTCAGGACTCAAGAGTGACTTTAAAAAAATTATTCTAGCCGGGCATGATGGAGCACGCCTTTAATCCCAGCACTTAGGCAGAGGAAGGCAAATCTCTGTGAGTTTGAGGCCAGCCTGGTCTACCTAGTGAGTTCCACGACAGCTGGGGCAGGGAGACTGGTCTCAAAAAAGATATACGTGCACACACACATGCACAAACAATAGTTCTTTATTTCTCTGTATGCATGTGTGCCTATGTGAGTTTATGGCACCAGAAACATGCAGGAGCCAGTGGAGGCCAGAAGAGGGCATCAGATCCCCTGGAGCTCATAGGCGGGTATTCGACAAAATGAGGGTGTTGGAGCAGTGAGAGGTCTTAACTGCTGGGTCATTTCCCTGGCCCCTACTCCAGTGACTTTTACAGTAGGCACACAACTCCTGCTGTTGTGGAAACAGTGTGAAAACAACAGCGGCAGTGACACCAAGCCACATTGAACAATGGGAAAAACCCAAGGGTTCCCTGAGCTAGTGGTCTGCACAGGTGTTCAGAGCCATCTACAGACTCCTCACCGAGACACACAGTTATGCTAAGTACGGAAGAGTGCTCAGGCCAGCAGCCTGTACCTTGCTTTATTATTTTTATATCTGTGTTTTGCCTGCATATATGTAAGTATACCTGTGTCATACATTGCCTGTGGAGGTCAGAAGAGGGTGTTGGATCCCTTGGAACTGGAGTTACACACGGTTGTTAGTCACTATGTGGGTGCTGGGAACTAAACCTGGGTTCTCTGCAAAAGCACCCAAGCACTCTGACCTGCTGAGCTGTCTCTCCAGGCCCTGTGCCTAGCTTAGCTTCTGCCAGTGTTATTCTTTCCCCAATAACAATTTTGGTGAAAATTTTTAAAAATTAATAATTTCAGGGCCGGGCCTGGTGGTGCACATCTTTAATCCCAGCACTTGGGAGGCAGAGGCAGGCAGAGCTTTGTGAGTTCAAGGCCAGCCTGGTCTACACAGTGAGTTCCAGGACAGCTGGGGCTACAAGGAGACCCTGTCTCAAAAAGACAAAAAAAAAAAAAAAATTTCCGGTGCTGGAGAGATGGCTCAGCAATAAAGAACACTGATATTCTTGTAGAAAACCCAAGTTTGAATCCCAGCACCCACGTGGCAACTAACAACTGTCTGTAACTCCAGTTCCAGAGGATCCAACAGCCTCTTCTGTCCTCCATAGATGCTGCATGACACGGGTGCACTTACCTACATGCAGGCATAACACTCACACAAATAAAATAAAATAAAATATTTTTTAAAAATTAATAATTTCCATAAATACAGAAAGATATTTAGAATTCACTTTAAAGAATATCCAGATGTTTGCTGGACTCATGAGGCACCAGGCTGTATCCTGGCTGTGTGGTCAGTGTATATGACCTGGGTTCAAAGTCCCGGCTCTAGGGGACTGGTCCTCTCAAAGCAATTTTGTATGTCTTGAAGTAAAACCTATAATCTAAGAAACCTTTTGTTTTGGTTTCTTTATAACACAGGGTCTCCCCAGACAGCTGAGGATGAGCTGGAACCCCCGCCTAACTGGCACTATCTTGACCTTCTGGCTTCTGCTTCTTCAGCTGAGATTAGAGGCATGAGCCACAGCTGGCTTTTCTCTATTTGAGAAAGGGTCACACTCTGTAGCCCAGGTTGGCACAAACGTGAAATCTTGCCCTCGTATCCTGAGTACTGTGATGAAGGGCAGGCGCAAGCAACCACGCAGGCAACCACGCAGGCAACCACGCTCAGTTCTGAGCTTGTTTTCTCGTGGAACTAGGGGTTGAGCCCCAGCTACCGAGCCAAGTAGCTGAGTCCCATTCCCAACTTTGGTTCTCTCCTTCCTTCCTTCCTTCCTTCCTTCCTTCCTTCCTTCCTTCCTTCCTTCCTTCCTTCCTTCTCTTTCATTCTCTCTCCCCCATCTCTCCTTCCCTTTCTTTCTCTCTCCCTCCCTCCCTTCCTTCTTCTTTTCTTTGAGACAAGGTTTCACTATGTCACCCTGGCTGGCCTGGAACTTACTGTGTAGACCAGGCTGGCCTGGAACTCAAAGTGCCACCTGGCTTGTCTTTTTACAAAGACAGGATCTCACTATGTGCCCAGGCTGGCCTCTGACTAGCAATCCTCCTGCCTCAGCCTCCCAAGTATTAAGATACCAAGAACGTACTACCACTACCAGTCCAAAGAAACTCTATGAAGAGTAGAAAAAGAGACAGAAGGTCACCAGTGTGTTTGGGGCAGACACAGACTGTATGTCTCCCTCCCATGGGCTTCCTGTGGTCAGATGGTGACCTCTGCCAGCTTCCCCCAGGCCAGCTTCCTGGGGGGACCAGCCCAACCACCTGGCAGCGAGATTTGCACTGTAAGGAACTGAGGTTGTCGGACAGCCCAGAGAAAAGACTGCACATGAGGAAGTAGCACAAGCTAGCTGGTGGAGCACAGCTTAGAAGGACTCTCTGGGAAGGGGCCTGCTGCAACCTCTGCGCACTGGCTCATCCACGGCAGAATGGCCTCCCAGGCTCTTTTCACAGTGAGATAGGTCACTTACGACTCCCAATCTGAGAGAACTTGAGGGCGACTGAGAGGCTGCTCCGGGCCACCATCGCCCCAATCTTCTTCCAATCGTTCCCATGGAGGGAGTGGTATGCCTTCAGCTTCTCCATGTCTTCTTCGTTGTACCTGAGAGGAACATACATGTAATCTCAGGTGTAAGGAGCCCCAAGACTAGAGGGCTCCTTGTGGCAGCACACACAGTGCACTGCACGTGGCACAGCATGCTGGAAAAGCTGAAGGCAGTGCAGTCAGCAAACATTCCAGTCCTACCATGGCCGCAGCTCCCATCACTGCCTGCCTGTGTCCGCAGCGGCCACTTCCTGGTCAGTCATCGCTGGTCAGGGCCTGAGGCTCGATTCAGTCTCACCACAGCCAAAGCAAACCACCTGCACTTGTTCTGACCTCAGTCTCTGCTGGCTCGGACGCAGCCCTGTCCAGCCCCGCCAGGATGGTCACCCTGCTGGTGCTCTGCAGGGAGGGCTGCACAGGCCAACCTGGCTGGGACCCTGTGGAGCTTCTCCCACACACTGGTCAGAGCCTGCCATCAGCATCTACGGACTCCCTGGTTTACGCTGCTTCCTCTAGACCAGTACTGCCACTGTCAATCACAACGTGACACAAGCCGCCAGGCTTACTCCATTTCTCCTCACTGGAAAACATGACTCCCTTTGCATTGTTAAATGTAAGAACACACTTTCTTTGAGCCGGGGATGTGGCTCAGTGACTCAGCACTGTGTGCAGGCGCAAGGCCAGAGGTCCATCCCAGGCACTGCTTAGTCATTTCTGGGGGACCAGCACCCAAGGGCTCTCAGACATGGTCTGTGCCTTTCTTCCTACCAAGCCTCCCAAACCCAGTGTGCGTTTTACCCTGGCAGCACACGGCAGCCTGGGCCAATGACATGGGCTGGCACAGTAGATGGCACAGCTATGATGTAAGTTTTGTGAAGCAGGGGCCTTGCGGGTGTGTACTCTCTGGCATCTGTGATGCCTGACAGACAGCAGTCACTACACAGAAATGTGCACCTGCATTAATTCTATAAAACAAGTTCCAAAGAAGGACCAAAGCAGCCCTGAACTGCTTAGACATTGACTTTGGGATTAAACACCATAAATAAAACGAGGAAGCAGCAATTTCTACAAGATCCTTAGATTCCTGAACCTTAACATAGGTAGGGAGGGTGGTGGTTTACATAATTACTAAGACAGCCCAAAAGAAGGCCTGGTAAATAATTAACAGTTTCTGATGGCAGTGATCCAGGGCTCACTGCTCTACAACAATGGCATTCTAGTGTTTTCAGAAATGCGCCCACAATGTGGACAAGGTAAAGAGACTCACTGTCCTTCATTACTAATTCTAATTGTGGATGGGGCCTGGAGAGACGGCTCAGTGGTTGAGCACGCTGGCTGTTCTTGCAGAGGACCCGGGTTCAAATCGCAGCAACCACATGGCAACCGACAACCATCCGTAACCTCAGTTCCAGGGGATCTGACGCCCTCTTCTGCCCTCCTCAGGTACTGTACAGCACAGGTGCACTTACAAGCAAGCATAACACTCATACACATAAAATAAAAATAATAAATTTAAAGAAGGGGGGTGGGACTGGAAAGGGGTCCTGAAGGAGCACAGCTGACCCAGCCACAGGCCAGTCTCGACGCAGAATCTTCATGTGTTCACTCCTCACCCATCCTGTGCACATCCTGCTTCGCAACGTCAGCAAACACCACAGACCAGTTCTGGTTCAAGCTTCAAGACTTTCTTACCTGCCTTTGTAATTGTTCACGTCAAATATCTTCTTTGCTCGATAGTACACGAGTTTCCAGGGCCGGGCAATGCCTTTTCCTACAGTCATAAGACAAGGAGTCAGAGGGGCACCGTGTGGCTGGAGAGACACAGTCACAGATGTCAAAGTGACCCAGCGAAGGCTTCTGCAACACCAGCCATGTGTGACCGACGCCCAGGCTGGGATTCCACACACCCTTCAGTGTCAGAGCCGAGGCGCTGTTAATGCTGCCCTGGGCAGTGGTCCACACTGGGTACAAGGACCCAGAGGCTCAGGCTCTTGACTCCCTCAACTCCAGAAAAGACCCTCAGAAGGCACATCGATCTTAGTACAATTCGAGTTAGAAGGAGGGGCACTAAGCTGTCTGTAGGGGAAGACCTCTCAAATAAGCTTTCCGGTTTTCTGCTCTCAGGTGAAATAATCCACCATAGCCGTTTCCCTGCTTCTATTACTGTGGCCCAGGAAACACGTGTGAGATCACTCTCCTCAAACTCCAGAAAGGTTTGCTTTCACAAGGGACCCCATTGTACGTGCTAGCCTCATGACTTGTCTAACAGCACCCTACCAGCAGGAGCAGCTCACATCACTTCCTGCTAGATCATGGTGCATGGACGGATGAGCTCTGTCCAGCACACACACGAGGGAATGAACAGGACAAGAAGTCAAAGCCCTAGTTCCCACCAGGCAAGACAGAAGATCCCCGAAGTGCACAAAATCCAGGGAAGCACGACTCTCGGGAGACATGGACACACCACAAATCCAGAGAGGTTCAGACTGGCAATAAGCACACTGAACCACAGCCTTGGTCACAAGCGCTGCCAGCAGGGGCCGGGCCAGGCTCCGAGCAGGACACTCGCCACGGGTGGCTGCGGTACGCTTGGGAAGGCTACGGGCAGCCACAGAGCAGCCTTTCTCCACTTACCGATGTGCAGTCTGAAGGCGTGCTTTCGTTTTAAATTGGTGATCAGAGCCCTTTCCTCTGGGTAGCGGTCTGTGTACAGCAGCTTGTCTGCAGTCTCAATTCCAGTCAGGGACAGGAATTCCTGCACATTTTTCTCTATTTGTTTATTTTCCTTAACAGAAAACTTGCCAAATCTAATAGCAACTCCTAGGGTTGGGGGAAGAAGACAAGTATTGTCAATAATGAATAAAAGCAAACCCACCACATTCATTTATCTTCTTTTTATTTTGTGTGTTTGCGTGTGCAGGTGCACACATGTGGGTGCTAGAGGTCAACCTCAGGTGTTGACTCTCGAGCACCATCCACCTTTTTGGGAAGGGGTTTCCTACTAGCTGGGGCTTGCCAAGTAGGCCAGGCTGGCTGGTCAGAAGCCCCAGCATCCTCCTATCTCGGTCTCCTCAGAGCTGAGGTTACAAGCACATAGCAGCACATCCAGCATTTTCATGTGGATTCTGGGAGCTGAACTCAGGTCCTCATGCTTGGGCAACAAGCCCTTTCCTGACTGAGCCATCTCCCCGGCCCAGAAACACGCCTGCTACACTCAGAGCACCAGGGCCAGCAGCACCTGCCTGTTGGGAGCAGTCCACTGGTGACCTTGGTGCCAACTGGCTCTCTCGTCCCCTATCCTTGATTGGCCCAAGCCACGGCTCTTCTCCCAAAGCCCTCCCAGACGCCCTAGTCCACACTCGCTTCCCCACTCTCTAAAGCAGTTGTATTCAAAATATCTAATATAGAGAACTATATTAAAAATCCAGACAGTATTGAAAGTTTAACCCCCCACCCTGTGCCAGTCTGCAGAATGGTTCTGCATTTCTGTACGTGTCCAGGGCGGGGTGGACACACTGCACAACATGTTACATTTAACTCCTGTTCACTGTGCAAAGGATTAACTATGCTGGTGCATTACTTTCTTTTTTGCAGGACTGGAGATTGACACAGTTTGTCTGGTTTCAGGGTTTTTTTTTCGAGACACAGTTTCATGTAGCTCAGACAGGTTGAAGGTGGCCAAATTTTATTTATTAATTGATTGATTGATCTTTTTGAAACAGGGTCTCTCTGTAGCCCCTACGCCCGTCCTATTTTTATTTTTTATGTGTATGAGTGCAGTGCCTGCATGTAAGTACACCCGTGTCGTGCAGTGTCCACGGAGGTCAGAAGAGGGCATCAGATCCCCTGGAACTGGAGTTATAGACAGCTGTGAGCTGCCATGTTGGTGCTGGGACTGAGGCCGCCTGTGCTCTTAACTGCTGAGCTATCTTTCTGGCCTGGTGTTTTTTTTTTTAACTTTAATTATTTCCTTACTTTTACTTGTGCGAGTGTTTCCATTGCTGGTGTGTTTACTGGTGTGTGCAGTGCCTGAGAAGGCCAGAAGAGGACGACAGCACCGCCGAGAGGGCACTAACGGTCGGACCTGGGTCCTTCGGAAGAACACCAAGTGTCTTATCCTGTTTTGTTTTGTTTTTTGAGACAGGTTCTCACTATGTAGCCTCCGCTGACTTGGAAAGCTATGAAGACCAGGCTGGCTTTGATCTCAGAGATCCCACTAAAGGTGTGCACCACCACGTCTTGGTCTTTGACTTCTGATCCCCTTCCTTCACCCCTTTAGTGCTAGGATTACATGCATGCACCAGTGTACCCAGTTTATGCAGGTGCTGGGGATCAAACCTAGGCATGGTTTATGTTAAGCAAGCACTCTACCAACTGAGCTACATCCAGTCCAGTCCTGGTTTTATATTTATTCCAAAAAAATAATTTTTTAATAAACATTTATTTATTTGTGTATGAGTGTTTACATCCATGTATGTTTGTGCACTACATGCATGCCTGGTGCCCAAGGAGGCCAGAAAAGGGTGTTAGATCCCTTGGAACTGGAGTTATAAGGCAGCTGTGAGCTGCCATGTGGGAACTGGGAACCAAACTATGGCACTCTGCAACAGCAAGTGTTCTTTTTTTTTTGAGACAGTGTCTCCCTGTAGCCCCAGCTGGCCTGGAACTCACTATGTAGACCAGGCTGGCCTTCAACTCACAGAGATCCGCCTGCCTCTGCCTCCCAAGTGCTGGGACTACAGGTGTGTGCCACCACACCCAGCTAGCAGCAAGTGTTCTTAACCACTGAGCCATCTTTGTAGCCTGCCCCTCTCTCTCTTGCATTTAAATTTTTTTTGCGAGAGAGAATGTGTCACGGTGTAGCCCTGGCTGGTGTCAAATTCACAGAGGTCTGCTTCTGCCTTTGTTGTACTGGGATTAAGGCTGTGAGCCACCACAACTGGCTAAAAGTATTTTTAGCAAAATAAGTAACTCAAGAATTTGGCATGGAGCCAGGTGCAGTAGTACATGCCTGTAATTCCAATACCTGGGAGGCTGAGGCAGAGGACTGAATTTGAGCTCAGCCTCCCCCACCTCATGATTCAACACATGACACACGGGAAGGGGCCCTTAGACACTGCTCAACAATGGTGTGCCCACGTGCAGTGCTGGTGGGAGTGTGTACGTGTGTCTACCGTGTCTGTCTCTGAACCCTCCCTTGCTCCACAGGTCAGAAGGCCCTCACTCAATGTACAATGCACACTGGTGCAAAGATGCCTGTATGCCCCGTGCTGCCATGCACAATGAAGGTACACAATGAAAAGAAAGTTTAAAGCAACTTTTTTTTTTTTTTGTCTTTTTGAGACAGGGTCTCCCTGTAGCCCCTGCTGTCCTGGACCTCACTATGTAGACCAGGCTGGCCTTGAACTCACAAAGATCCACCCGCCTCTGCCTCCCAAGTGCTGGGATTAAAGGCGTGCGCCACCACGCCCGGCCTTAAAGCATCTTTTAACTTTTCTCAATGGCCAGGGTTAGAGCTTCAGTGACTACTGCTCACGTATGGTACAGCCTTAAACCTGTAGTTTAGGTCTGACCTGCGTTATGGGAGGTTCTTGTAGCACGGTGAACTCGAGAGAGCAAGCAGGGTCTGGCTGGAGACCTCACCCAGGACCAGCCTGGAGTCAGTACCTCTGGGACAAAGCTGCACCTCGCCCTGGCCCGCTGACCTGACAGCTTCAGCTTCCTTTACTTCCCAGTGTCCTCCACTGCCAGGACCGACTGTTACACTGGGGATTAGCTGTCCTGTCAGTCACCCCGTCAGTCACCCCCCGTCAGTCACCCTGTCAGTCACCCTGTCAGCCACCCCGTCAGCCACCCCGTCAGCCACCCCGTCAGCCACCCTGTCAGCCACCCCGTCAGCCACCCCTGTCAGTCACCCCGTCAGCCACCCCGTCAGTCGCCCCCCCATCAGTCACCCCGTCAGTCATCCCGTCAGTCACCCCTGTCAGTCACCCTGTCAGTCACCCCTGTCAGTCACCCTCTTCTGTGCCTCCTCTGCCAGAAGTGAGGCAAAAAGAAAAGCAGTCACTTTGCCAAATTCAGTGTGGACTTGGAAAGGAGACGGCTGAAGGGGCTGAAGGACGTTTCTGGATCCATCAACCCAAATCCAAAACAAAAAAGTCAGGTGCTGTGCTGTGCTGTGTGCAGGAAAGCTCACCAAGCAAGGGGGGTACCCTGGGCTCACCTTGAGCTTTAAACTCTTTGAAGCGCCCCAGGTCATCCCGATACATTCGTCTGATTGTGGTGGCCGCCCTTTCCTTTATGTCAGGAATGAACTCTTGGAGCTGCCTCACAGCAGAGCCCAAATCCACATCAGACTCATCGGAATCTTCGGAGGGGTATCTGGACACAGAGTCTCTAGCTGATTCCGAGTTGCTTTCTTCTTCATTTGAAGGTTCTGACCTAAGGGGGAAACGAGGTCACCATCAATTATCTCTTTGTCTTTCCAAGGCTTCCTGACCGAGTCTCAGTCTGTGGGAGTGCTGAAGCTAGACAGCACCGCGAAGCCAATCCCGTCCCTGGCTTTCTCTTTAAGGCAACCTGACTATGAAGTGGACTGTGTCCAAGGTGGGCAGAAGGCAAACCCAGGCTCTACATCCCATTTCTACCGTTAAGCTTTACGTCACGTCTCATCTTTCTTCTTGGTCTAGGAAGTGAAGGCCTCTTTTCTCGGCACCGAGAATCAGACACGTCTTCCAGCCTTCCAATGAGCTGTTTTCGAATCTAGTGGCTACCGACTGGTTGAATCAGTATACAGTTTACTAGCGATGACTGTTTATGCCACAGGTTCTAGGGCCTCAATTCTTTGCTTAGCTTCCTATGTTTCCATCCCAATTCCTCTTGCTGATTCTCCACCCCAGCCTAGCATATTCCTGCGTTGGGATCAGCGTTCTGAAACTCCAGTAAGACAGCACAGAGGACAGTGTCAGTGGGACCACACTTGCCATCAGTGCCACCGGAATGGCTCTCCCCTTAAATGTCACGTGAAATTATGGCAGGTCAGAGCCACCAAACAAATATGGAGACATTACTGAGAATGGAGGCAGAAAATCTGTCCCAAGTTCAGGACCTGTAAGTAGACAGAAAACCCTCAGGAACTTCATCACACACTGTACTCACATGGCATTTATACACATATGATATCCGAATGCCTTGCTAGTCAGACTAACACAGAATTCTAAGTACAATATATGGAAACTTTTGTTTTCATAATTGTATGTAGACAAACTAAGGACAGTTGGAGATCTTTTTAAACTTTAAAAAAAAATTTTATTTATTATTTTTATTTCATGTGTATGCATGTATTGCCTGCATGTAGGTAAGTTCACCTGTGTCCTACAATGCCTGTGGAGGTCAGAAGAGGACCTCAGATCCCGTTAGCTGTTGTTAGCTGCCATGTGGATGCTGGGATTCAAACCCGAGTCTTCTGCAAGAACAACCAGTGTTTTTAATGGCTGAGCCATCTTTCCAACCCCAAAGTCGGAGGTCTTAACATGGCTATCAAATGTCCTCAGGTTAGATGGCTGGGACAGTTCTTAGGGAAACTTCAGTATTAAATCCCTTTCTTTTTTTTTTTTTTTTTTTTTGGTCTTTTTGAGACAGGGTCTCCCTGTAGCCCCAGTTTGCCCGGAACTCACTATGTAGACCAGGCTGGCCTCAAACTCACAAAGATCCACCTGCCTCTGCCTCCCAAGTGCTGGGATTAAAGCGAGTGCCACCACACCTGGCAACTGCTTTCTTTTATACTTGACTGGCTTAATTAAACCTGCTCATTATCATTCTATGATTTCTAACATTTAATGGGTTTAAGAACAAAACAAGGCTCTAGTAGAAGCACGCCAAAGACGCACACACCACCTTACCTCTGCATCTCTCCCCTGAGTTTCTCTGCTGAACAGGCCAGGGTCTTGGCCTTCTTTGGCCTGTGGTCTGCATCCTTTTCCTTTAAGGTGTGCCCGCCCTCTGCTGGATCCAAAAGCCTGTTTGCACCATCCTCAGGCACTGAGACATCGCCAGACGCTGCGATTCCACAGGACACCCGCTTCCTTTTCTTAGACTTTGCCGTGATACTGTGGGAATCCTTGACCCTTTTAGGTACGCCACTGCCTTCTCCAGTCTCAACCTCCCCTTCAGGGCACCTGTCACTCAGATGCTCAGACACGGCCTCCCATGCCCGGTTTCTCGACACCTTTTTCTTTTTTTTCTTAGACTTCTTTGTAGTAGACACCGGCAGCTCTGGGTCCCGGACTTCCAGAGGCGCACAAGACCAGGATGTTGGTGTGGGGGGCTCTGACCGCAGCGGGGCGGCGCTCGCCTGCTGGCCTCCCTGTGCAGCATCCGCAGGGGATGCGGCTTTCCTCCGGCCCTTCCTCCTCCTGCTGCGACCTTCACGGCGCGGTCCTGGGGCAGGGTCTGGGTCCCCGCGCGGGTCTGGGGCTTGGACAGCGGCGGGCTGCCCCCCTGCTGACTTCTCGCTCAGGTCAACACACACGATATCCACGTCCGTTCTGCGTTTCTTCAGCAGGTTCTGGATGTTCTCTTTATTCACAAGGATGATACCGGTCTCCCGGTCCACCTCCCAAACGTGCCTCCTCTTTTTCTTCCTTTTGTGGGGAGAAGGGATCTTTTTGGTTTCAGGGAAGGTTTCTGAATTTTTTAAAGGGGAAGAGGTAAGGTGTTGGAAATCCTTCCTCCTCTTCTTCCTCTTAGTTACCCCGGGCTCTTCACTGGCCGCAGAGGGCTCTCTGAGGTGCTCGCGGGCATGTTTCTGGGGTCTGTCCTCAGAGGCAGAAGACCTTTTCTTTTTCTTGTTAAAAACTGCAATGTGGCCCTTCAGTCTGGTCGGTTCTCCTTCCATTCCAGTCCTTTAGAGAGAGCGGACAACAATGGTTTGTTCTGGCAATCTGAACGAGCCTGTACTGTTCAAAGCGCACACGAGCTGACTAATCCACTCTGCCCAGTCCCATATCCACGGAAGACTGTGCCGCATCCTCATCGCACCCCCCACCTCTGCTGGTTCCCCTGCTTGCTGCGCCCTTCCCAGCCTGCAGAGCGGGCAAGAAGATGGTTTATTCTCTTCGAAGACAGGGTCTTGCTACATAGCCTTCCCGGCTGGCCTGAAACTGACTGTGTAGCCCAGGTAGGCCCCAAACTTGCAGCAGTCCTCCCACCTCACCTCAGCCTCCTTGTTCCGAGGGTTTCAGGTCCCAGGGTGACAGGTCCCAAGGTTACAGGTCCCAGGGTTACAGGTTCTAGGGTTACAGGTCCTAGGGTTACAGCCACACACAGCTGCCAGATCACTCCTTAACAAGCTTTCTCCTTCTGTTTCTCAAACACACTTTCACAGAAACTTATAATTTAAAATCAACAACTAGCTGCTGGGCATGATGGCGCTCGCCTTTAATCCCAGGATTTGGGAGGCAGAGGCAGGTGGATCTCTGTGAGTTCAAGGCCAGCCTGGTCTACATAGCGAGTTCCAGAATAGCTGGGGCTATAGGGAGACCCTGTCTCAAAGAGACAAAACATAAAATTAAAATAAAATTAAAAAAAAAATTTAAAAAAAATGAACAACTAGCTACTCACTCAATATCTCCTCTAGGGTACAATCTGCAAAGGAAGGCAGTTTGTCAATCCTGCTCCCTCTGTTTCTACTATCTAGAAGCTGTAACCCAGACCTCTGTTAGGTGAGGCAAGCTTCATGGGGGATCAGTGAGCATCCATGGACTTCACGTGGGAATACTGACCCTTTGCCAAAGAAGGGAAGACATGCCTCCTTAGTATTCAGCAAAGAAAAAAAAAAAAAAGGAAAAAAGAAAGCCAGATGTGGTGGCGCACATCTTTAATCCCAGCACTTGGAGGCAGAGGCTGGTGGACTGCTGTGAGATCAAGGCCAGCTTGGTCTACGGGCCAGCCAGGGTTACAGGGAGACCCTGTCTCAAAAACTAAAACAAAGAAACAAACAAAGAAAAATTAAAAAGACCTGGAGAGATGGCTCAGTGGTTAAGAGCACTGGCTGCTCTTCCAGAGGACCAGGTTCAGTTCCCAGCAGCAAATGGTGACTAACAGCCATCTGTAACTCCAGCTCCTGGGGATCTGATGCCCTCTTCTGGTTTCTGGGGGTAGTGCACAACACAGGTGCACTTACATACATGTAGGCAAAACATTCTTACATATACAAATAAAAAATAATAGCCAGGTGTGGTGCATACACCTTTTATCCTAGCATTTGGGAGGTAGAGGCAGGCAGATCTCTGTGAGATTGAGGCCATCCTGGTCACCATAGTAAGTTTCAGGCCAGCTAGGACTACAGGGAGACACTGTCTCAAAAAGACCAAAAAAAAATTTTTTTTAAAAGAAAATGTTGGGGCTGGAGAGATGGCTCAGTGGTTAAGAGCACTGACTGCTCTTGCAGAGGACCTGGGTTAAATTCCCAGCACCCACATGGTGGCTACGAACCATCCTTAACTCCAGTTCCAGGGGAATCCGAAGCCCTCTTCTGACCTCTGCAGCATCGCATGACATGGGTGCACTCACATACATGTACGCCATACACTCATACACATAAAATAATAAAATATTTTTTAAAAATGCCACAATATATTGATAGATTTGTACATTAATACTGACATATAGCGTGCATTGCATGTATTTGGGAATTTAAATGTATTAACAAGGGGTGGGATACAGCTCAGCTGGTGGAGTAGTGCTTGGCACACACCAAGTTTGGGTTCTATTCTTAGCACCTCATAAACCAGGCCTGGGTGCTCATGCCTGTAATCCAGCACTTGAGAGGTGGAGGCAGGAGGTTCAGGAATTCAAGGTCATTCTAGACAGCACAGCGAGTCTGAGGTCAGCCTGGGCTACTTACTGAGACCCTGTCTCAAAAAAACAAAACAGTAGGGCATGGTGGTGCATGCCTTTAATCCCAGCACTCAGGAGGCAGAGGCAGGCAGATCTCTGTGAGTTCAAGGCTGGCCTGGTCTACATAGTGAGTTCTAGGACAGCTGGGGCTACAGGGAGATCCTGTCTCAAAAAAGAAAAAAACAAAAAAAACAAAAACAGAACTCTGCCATGCAAGAGGCCTTGGGGCTCAATCCCCAGTACTACAATAAACAAATAGTAAGTAAAATCAGAAATGTATTTTACAAAAAAAGTTAAAAATACCAGAAGAATCAGGAGTCAGAGAACAGTGTGGGCTCGTGAGCTCTGGTCTCAAATCTTCCCTCCTAAGCCAGTTGTGGTAGCCAAAGTCTTTAGTCCCAGCACTGGAGAAGCAGAAACAGGTGGATCTCTGTGAGTCTGAGGCCAGCCCTGTCTACATATTGAGTTTTAGGCCAGCTGGAGCTACACAGTGAGATGTGCCTCAGAAAGCAAAACAAACATATCAAACCGTCCTCCCCAAGTAGATAGTTTGCACAAACGCTTAGTCTCCTCCTCACTCTGAACTGCTTGAGTTCAAAGCCTTAGATTTCTTTATTGTTGACTTACCACCTGAGTCTTATCTGCAATTGCAGTTTTCACTAACAAACCCTGGCAGGCACTCTATCATAGGGGGCTTTTCTGCTAGATGCTAAGCCCATTTCCTGCAGAGGACACCTAATTTATCTTGGATAGTAGACGGCAGCTGCAAGGGCAGTGTTCTGGAGGGAAGGGTCTCTGAAAGAACATGAACTGAGCAGCTGCAAGGCAAGTCCTTCACCTTCCAAGGAGACACCTAGAACTCTGCTTGAGGTCCTGCCACCCAGCCTGAAACTACCACCTAGAGATGCAGAGGGCGCGCACACTGGCTTCTTTAGGGTCTCAGCACACACATGCTAAGAGTGCTGCCAGTGAACCCCTACTCAGAGAGTCTAGCAGACTGTCTTACAGGAACACCATAGGCCTAGCATCTAGTAGTGTCTGGCTCTGCTTAGTATAAAAAAAATGGTATGAACTATGCCTTCTCTTTGTCTGCACTTGTGCTAATGAGAATGGTAGGAGCAAAAACTCAGAACTGGGCAGACAGGCTTTAGTCCACAAGCATGCCACTGGACCCCTTCAGGAGGACCTGAACACTGTCCAGAACTGAATTCTGTTTTTCTAGTCTGGGCTGTCCCACACAGTAGCCAGTAGCCACATAAGGCTACTGAGCACCTGAAATGAGCCAGGTCAAGCTGTAAAACTGGGAAACACAAGCTAGGTGAAATGGCAAAACGAACCCCACTTTGCTCTCTGACTGCTCTGCCCTGTTTTTGCTCAGCCATTCCCACTGCAGCCAGCCAGGCAGAATGGCTCCTGCAAGCAGGCAGTTTGAGGGAGTGCACGGTTTCTACAATACTGGGAAGCCTACAAGCCACCATGGAGCACTTCCAGATAGCACGGCCTCCCACCCAGCTACACCTGCATCTCCACGGAGCCCATTGTTTCTGCAACTCTGAGAAACTTTTATATTAACTGAAAACCTCTTTGTTAACTGACCTACCCCAGTCTGGTGTAACTGGGAACTGGCTTTGCTCCGCCATGATGCGATTGTGGTTTCAAGCTTTATAAACCCTGCCCTGCTTCTCTGAAGGGTGGTGAGGTCTTTGGGGCTTGGGCTTTAGCCCTCCCGCTGACTGCAGGTTATTAATAATGCTTCATTCCCTCTATGTCCCTGTGACTCTTCTGGGTGTTAACTGCAGCTGCCCTTCCCACACCCCTTCTAAGCAGCTGGGGGAGTTTGTGTAGAACTTCGTAATTTAGTCGCTCTAAATGAGCAAGGAAAGGGTAGCGGGGAAGCAGGGACTGGAACTCCGGTTGTCGTGCTTGTGGAGCAAATTCTCAGCTCGGGGGTTGGGGAGAGCCATCTTCCCCATCTCCCAGCCCCACTCCTGTTATTTTTAAAAGTATTTTATTATGTTTATGTGTATGAGCATCTTCCCTGCATGTGGGTTAAATGCACCCGTGTCGTGCAATGCCCGAGGAGGTCAGAGGGCGGCGGGGATTCCCCCTGGAACTGGAGTTAGGACGGTTGTGAGCCGCCATGTGGATGCTGGGACGCGAACCCGGGTCCGTTGCAAGAGCAGCCAGGGCTCTGAACCGTTGAGCCATCTCTCCAACTCCTCTCCTTGTTATTCTAGACACAAATGAATATCCTTCCAGACCTACAAGGTCTCCTTAATATCCTTCCATGACGTGCTCGGGTCTGTACCTCTCCTTTCTGTCTGGGGCTCGGAACTCTGCCTGCTTGGGTCCTAGGAATGCACACGGTCCGCGTTCTCCCAGGGACTCTGTTCAAAAAGCCCCGCGGATCCCTCACTGGGCCGGCGAAGTCCGCAGTTTCCCCGCTGCTGGGGTGCAATCCGCCTCCGCCCTGCCCACCCAAGGAGCGGAAACGTACTTATTCCCACTTCCGGCCCTGTCGAGTGCAACACAACTTTGCTCCGGGTGGCGACCCGAGGAACTCAGCGGAAGGTTCCGGCGCCCCGGAGGCATCACCCCAGGGGACCCGGCCGCAACCACCCGCGTGGAAAACCAGGCCGCTCCACCGGGAGGACCAGCCCGCACCACCCGGGAGGATCAGGCCACATCACCCGGAGGTTTGGGCCGCACCACCCGCGTGAAGGACCAGGCCGCTCCGCCTGGAGGACCAGGCCACACCACCCGGGAGAACCAGGCCGCATCACCCGGGAGGAGGACCGGGCCACACCACCCCGGAGGATCAGGCCGCGTCACACTTGCGCAGCGAGAAGCTAAAACAAAACCACGACTAACTTACTGCGAGAAAATGTCTCTCCCCGGCCTCCAACCCGGAAGTGTTGTGGTGTGGGAGGCAGTACTCCTACCTCACTTCCGAGTTCCTTCCGCTTCAGGCTGCCATAGCAACTTGGCTGCCCTCGCCTGCACTTGACGCATGCGTAGTTGCCTCTCGATGATCTGGCGCCTGATGGGTTGAAGTTGTCCCAAATTTAGGCGAGCTCTTCCGTTGCCTTCATCCATGCGTGCACGTAATTTGCTTAGTACTTTTTGTTTTTTTGGCCGATCTCCAGGAGTTAAGTAAAGACATAAACTTGGGGCTGGAGAGATGGCTCAGCGGTTAAGAGCACTGGCTGTGCTTATAGAGGCTCGAGTTCGGTTCCCAGCACGCACATGGTGCTGACAACCATCCATAACTCCAGTTCCAGGGGATCCAACACCCTCTTCTGACTTCCGGGAGCATTGCACAACACGGGTGCATTTACATACATGCAAGCAATACACTCATATGCATAAAAAATAAAAATAATAGTAATTTATTTTAAGTGCTGGAGAGATGGCTCAGCAGTTAAGAGCAGTGGCTGCTCTTGCAGAGGAACTGGGTTCGAATCTCAGTACCCACATGGCAACTAACAACTGTCTGTAACTTCAGTTCCAGGGGAATCCGAGGCCCTCCAAAGGCATTGCACAACTTGGGTGCGCTTACAGGCAGGCAATATACTCATGTGTATAGAAAATAAAAATAGCCAGGCGTGGAGGCACACGCCTTTAGACCAAGCCTTCGGGAGGCAGAGGCAGGCGGATCTCTGTGAGTTAAAGGCCAGCGAGGTCTACATAGCTTCAGGACAGCTGGGGCTACGGGGACACCCTGTCTCAACAGCGAAACCAAAATCTTTTATTTTAAAGAATAAATAGGGGCTGGACAGAAGGGTCAGCAGTTAAGAATACTGGCTGTTCTTGCAGAAGACCCAGGTTCGAATCCCAGCACCCACATGGCAGCTAACAACTGTCTGTAACTCCAATTCCAGGGGATCCGACAGCCTCTTCTGACCTCCGTGGCATTGCACGGCATGGGTGCACTTACCTACATGCAGGCAATACATGCATACACATAAAATAAAAATAATATTAAAAAAAGAATAAATAAATTGACGAAGATCATTTCAAGTGAGCATCCCTATAAGTAGAGCAGTAAGCAAGGGTTCTGTTTTAGATGTGAAGGGAGACTCTGAGGACTGACATTTGGACTGAGTTCAAACAAGCAAGCAAAAATCTAAGTGGAGAGCTGGGGACATATCCCTGTTTGTAGAGTGCTTGTCTAGTGTGCACCAAGTCCTGGGTTGGATCCCAGCACTGCACAAACCTGGTGTGGTGATACTCTCCTGTAATCCATCACTTGTGACGTATAGGCAAGAGGATCAGAAATTCAAGGTCATCCTTGGCTACATTGGAGGCCAGCCTGGGCTACATGAGACCCTATCTTTGAAAAAAGAAAGAAAAACCACATGGTCATCTCAATAGATGTTTAAATATAAAAAAAAAAAAAAAAAAAAAAAAAAAAAAAAAAAGAAAGAAAATCTATGTGGAAGTGTTCCAGGCTAGAAATAAGTGCAGAGGCCCTGTGTGTGCTTTCCAAAGGAAATGTGGGAGCAGGGCAGCTGAAGTACAGTAAACAAAGGGGGCATCAGAGGTGGGGGAGGGTGTGTGGAGCTAGCTAGAGCAGGCTTTGATGCATGTTCAGTGCAAGGTCTCCCAAAGCCAGAGTTAGAAGGAATCTTAGAGTTCTGTTCTGACCCTCCTGTTTGAACAGACTCCTGGGCTCAATAGTATCGGGCTTGTCCTTGAGGCCCCGGGTTTGATCCTCCAGAACATTGAAAAAAAAAAGACACACACAACTTAGCTTCCAATGAAAAGGAAAGCTTTACAGGGGCCATTAAATCAAGACCACCGTATATACAGCACTCTAACTTTTAGCCTTTTTGTAGTGAACATAAAGGTGGGAAGTGTTTTATTTGGTTTTTTTGTGACAGGATCTCACTGTGTAGTCCTGGCTGGTCTGGAACTTGATTTGTAGACCAGGCTGGCCTTGAACTCACAGAGATCCACCTGCTTCTGCCTTCCCAGTGCTGGGATTGAAGATGTGTGCCACAACGCCCAGCTGTTGTTCTGGGTTTTTTGTTTTGTTTTGTTTTTGGTTCTTATTGTACTATTTCCATTTTTAACTTTTCTGTAGGTTTGATTTTTTTTTTTCCCTTGGATCTTTTTGAGATAGGGTCTCCCAGTAGCCTCAGCTGGTCTGGAGCTCAGTTGGCCTTGAACTCATAGAGATCTGCCTGCCTCTGCCTCCAGAGTGCTGGGATTGAAGGCGTGCACCACCATGCCCAGCTGGTTTGAACTTTTTAAGAATAAAAAAATTCAGGGTTTGGGGTTGATAGACCTTTAAAGATAGTCTCATGTTATTTCTGATGGTCTGCAAAATGTTTTTTACATTGATTTATTGCGTGTGAATGCACGGGAGCTGCATACCGGAGGCCAGAGGACAACTTGGAGGTGTCAGTTCTCTCCTCCACCATGTGGGGCCAGGGGACAGGGCCAGGGGACTGGACTTGGGTTGGCAGTCTTGACTGCAGGCTCTTACTGCTTCATGAACATTTTATCTCGATATCCGGGGACTTGCAGGTGTTATCGGTGCAATGCCCTGAGCAGAGCTGGGGAGGGAACCTAGTGGAGTGGGGCGGGTGGAGATAGGGTCCCCTTGACCTGGAGCCAGGACCTCATCAGCATCCTATATGCAATTCTTGGGTTTTCCCTTGTCGGCTTAAAAATCTAAAAGGTCGGGGCTGGAGAGATGGCTCACCAGCTGCTCTTGCAAAGGACCTGGGTTCGAATCCCAACACCCATATGGCATCTAACAACCATCCATAACTTCAGTTCCAGGGGATCCAACGCCCTCTTCTGACTTCCTCGGGCATTGCATGACACGGACGCACTTATATACCATGCAGCAATACAGTCATATACATAAAGTAAAATTAAAGATAGTAAAATATTTTTTTAAAAAAAATCTAAAATGTCTGTCTTGGTTGCCAAGTATTTCAGGAGCTGTTGGCGTCCCGTCGCCAAGGAGACGGGCAGTTCCATTTCTGCTTGGGGGGGGGGTGCCTTTAGCCTCTGCTCTTCCAGTCCGCACCGCGGTACCCCAAGCTCCTTCTGGAGACCTACCCGGGTGCCCGTGCTCCAGGGGCGCCTCGCGTGGACGGTGCGCTCCGGAGGCGGCCTGGTCCCCTGCCCACCTCCCCGTTCCCCCCCCGCCCGGTCCCCGTGGTGCAGCCCGCCCCGCACTCGTGTGGGAAAGCACTCTGTGGACTTGCAGCCGGGGCCGACCCCTCCACCCCCGGGATGCCAGGGCCCGGGAAAACCCGGCAGGACCTCACGCGATGGGAGAAGAGGGAGAAGAAGACGCCAGTGCGCCGCACGGTCAGCCAGATCTGCCCGCCGGCTCGACGGCCGCTGACGGTGGCCGACATCCGCCCGGGGATGGAGAACGAGCGGCTGGGGGTCGTGCGGGACTCCATGTTTCAGAACCCGCTCATCGTCAAGGTGAGCGCCCGGGACGCTGGTCCCCTCCCTGGTCACCCGTGCGGCCTCATGGCCCGGGTCTGGAAACCCAGGCTGGACCCTCCGCAGGCACCGGCAGGGTCTTCCTCCGCTGGGACCCAGTAGCAGGGGTCACTGGGAAAACCGGGTAGGGCGAGTTCCTGGGGGTCCTTGGTACAGCGTGATGCTGGCTGCCGTGGTACCCAGGGATGAACCCACAGATGACTGACAGGATGCAGGCATTCGCCAGCCCCACCCTTCCCCAGCATCTCCGACCTGTAGGCAGCAGGTGCTCTGCGTCTCCCGCGGAAGCATCACTTAACGAGGTACTTTCTCCCACGCTTATGTACCCAAATCTCAGTCCTAAGTGGGGAAAAGGGTGCAAGAAAAGCCTCTAAAAAGCCTGGCCAGCCCCAGCGTGGGAGCAGCGTTTTGTCCCTGGATTACTTCCCTTTTATTGTCCACTTTCTGCAGTCAGTTCCCCGCGGGCGAGGCACAGGGAGAGTCAGAAGTTGAAGTTTGGTGGTTGGGTTGGTAGCCATGGAGCAGATTTACCTTAAGCCACTAGAGGGCAGCGTGGTTCTAAAAATACGCGGGAATTCCCAGCTTTGGGGGTGTGCGGGACAGAGGGAGCGCAGGTGGAAACGACTGATTGGGCAGCAAGGATTTGTCTGACTCTCAGAACTGATTAGAACCCAGAGGCGGTGGTAGTGATTTTCCTTCCCTCCCTTCCCCTTCCCTCCCTCCCTCCGTCTGTCCCTCCGTCCCTCCATCCTTTCCCCTTCCTTCCTTCCCTCCCTTCCCCTTCTCCTTCCCTCCCTCCTCTTCCTCCCTTCCCCCTCCTTCCCTCCTCTCCTCCTCCTCCCTCTTTTCTTCTTCCTTTTCTCCCTCCCGCCTCCCTTCCCTTGTCTTCCTTCCTTGCCCCATCCCCACCTTCCTCCTTTCTTCCTTTCCTTCTTCCATAAAGGGAGCCTGGGCTTTCTTGACTAGAATCAGCTGGGTTCTGTGGCTCCAGGAAAACACTGACTCCAGTCCTTTGCTTTCCCTGTGGACAGTGACTGCAGCGCACGGAGCTAGATCCCTCTGATATGTCCTGTTCTGGTCTGCTTTCTATTGCTGTGGTAAAATACTGACCAAAACCAACTTGGGGAGGGAAGGGTTTATTTGGCTTGCAGCTCACAGTCCACCATTAAGGGACACCCAAGCAGGGCAGGAGCCTGGAGGCAGGAGCTGAAGCAGAGGCCATGGAGGACGCGGCTGACTGGCTTGCTCCCCTGGGCTGTGCTCAGTTTTCTTTCTTTTTAAATTTATTTAAAAATTTTTATTTTATGTGTATGAGTGTAATGCCTGCATGTATGTAAGTGCATCTGTGTCGTGCAATGCCTGTGGAGGTCAGAAGAGGGCGTCGGCTCCCCTGGAACTGGAGTTACTGATGATTGTTAGCTGCCATGTGGGTACTAGGAACCGACCCTGAGTCCTTTGCAAGAGCAGCCAGTGCTCCTAACTGCTGAGCCATCTCTCCAGCCTCTCAGTCTGCTTTCTTATACAGTTCAAGACCATCTGCCCAGGGGTGGCACCACTCACAGTGGGCAGGGCCCTCCCACATCACTCAACAATCAAGATAATGCCTCACAGACATGGCCACAGACCAGTCCCATAGAGGAAACTCCCCATTTGAGGGTCCCTCTTCCCAGGTGTCCCAAGGCGACACCTAAAACTCCAGCACATTCCCTAAATTGGAACAGGGTCCTTTGCTTAGCTCTCATGAGAAGAGCCACTGTCAGCAGGCAGACAGGATGGGGAAGTGGGGTCTGCTGTTGTGGGTTGAGGCGGGAACAAAGCCTCTGAATAGCAGCTCTGATAGCGAGTAGGTCCGTTCCACCTCCGTATAAAATGATGAGTGTTAGAGTCCGTTCTCTGTAGTGAATTCTCGTGTGATGTTCATTCAGAGACACATACATGTGTGTACATATGCATGCTGTATTTTATATATAAAATTTACATGCTTTATGACGTATAACACACAAGTAATATATATATATACAACAGAAGCATATGTTTAGTATACATACGTACGTATGTAAAATATAATTGCGTAGCTATAAAATATGACAACCCCCCTTCTTTTCCCCTTTTGATTTCTCTTCCTGGCCATGGCAAGGACAACATTTGACCTCTAGGTGGCACTAGCCTAACAGCTTTCAGGACAAATTCCATCTTTGATTTCTGAGCTGGAGTTCAGGAATAAAATAAATTCATGGTGGACAGCCAATAGGGTTTTGTTTTCTGGCCATCACAAGACTGTCCTCATCCCTGGTGACCAGCGGGTCCACATCCTGGTGCTCTCAGGTGGTAGCCTGGGATTCTGCCCTGCCAGAGGCAGCAGGGAGCAGCCTCCCCCTGGACTGTCCTCCATTAGGCATTACCTGCGGTGGTTAGGGTGATGATGCCCACACTCACCCCTTCCTATAAGATCTCCTATCAAAACCCGGCCTATAACAGAATTGGCTGAGAAAGTGTGAAAAGGAAGCTTGGCTGCTGCCTTTTCTAGAATCTTCTTTATAAATGAATACATTGGGAGCTGGAGAGATGGCTCAGCCATAGTGAGCACTGTTCTTGCAGAAGACCTGAGCTCGGTTCCCAGCACCTGTATGGGGCAGCTCACACTGCGTGTCACTCTAGCTTGAGGGGATCTGATGCCCTCTTCTGGCCTCTGTAAGCACCTGTGCACATGTGTACCTATACACAGACACATAGACACATACACATAAATAAAAATAAATGAATATATTGAAGAAATCTCTTCAAGGCTTTTGGCTCAAGGTTCTGGGAGAGCCTGGTGCAGAAGTGACACCCACTGACTCCCAGCCCAGCATTATTTTTTAGTATACTTCAACTTCCTTTATATAATATAAAGAAAATGTGAATTATGAAAGGTTGGGAATTTGGGCTTTAAAGAAAATGTGAATATTGAAAGTAGTTAGGGTTCTATGTTCAATGTTCTAGAACATCCATGGCTCAAGGTTCTGGGAGAGCCTGGTGCAGAAGTGACACCCACTGACTCCCAGCCCAGCATTATTTTTTAGTATACTTCAACTTCCTTTATATAATATAAAGAAAATGTGAATTATGAAAGGTTGGGAATTTGGGCTTTAAAGAAAATGTGAATATTGAAAGTAGTTAGGGTTCTATGTTCAATGTTCTAGAACATCCAAATTAAAAAA